CCTCTCCTCTCCTCTCCTCTCCTCTCCTCTCCTCTCCTCTCGTCTTTTCCTATCCTATCCTATCCTATCCTATCCTATCCTATCCTATCCTATCCTATCCTATCCTATCCTATCCTATCCTATCCTATCCTATCCTATCCTATCCTATCCCATGCTGTGCTACACCATATTCTAAATGGGCTGCTGAATATGAGCTAGTTAAAAATAGAGTAAAATATAAAACCTCAAAAATGCTTTATGCCACCTCAGAGGCAAGTGTAATATTTTAAGAAACACTTCACTGTACTACCTGTATTTGGATTTAAGGGAATTCTGCTAGCAAAATGTTTACTGTATTCTATCTTGAAAATTAAACTTATTGCACACAATCCAGCAATACTTGGATTACATTTTGCAGACAATGTAATGAAATGTAAACTGAGTTACTATTCAGTGTAACCTAGCATTCCACTTCATAATTAACAGCCTTCCAATATGCATATAGAGGAAGTAAATTAGAATCATTTTCCAGTTTAGATAGGACAATACCACCTGAAATGAGAGACACAAAACCTTCTTAGTTACCACTTGTATACATATATGTGTGTGCGTGTATTTGCACATGCACACTGACATGCATACACAAGGGAAATGAACAAACAAGTATTAAGCAAAGCCATCATTAATTATTATAGACAATCTCTTCAAAGATACATATCTACCTCTTCATTTTCCTACTATGTGTCCAAGTCCAAATTCAATCCTAAATCATATTAAATAGATGATTTTGAAAAGATTATTGAAAGTCAGTATCTGTGCATTTGGGATGAAAAGTGAATTCGGGGAAGGATTGAACTTGTTCACTGCAGATTATAATAATCTAAGTATCTACACATAAACTCTGTGACTCAGTTCTCACTGTAGCCAATGAAGATCTGATGTATGTGGTCAGAAGAGACAAGGGCTTTTTAGTTCAGCCTAAGTAGTCATCTGTACCTGATGAGCTGAGTAGCTCTCTACAATCCACTAACACTACTGACTCCAGTCTATCTGAAGTAGCTGGTGTTAATCACCAGAATATTATTGAAAACATTTAAAATAAAATTATGGTATAATTATAAATATTATTCTCATGTAATTTGTGCACTAGTATTTGATTGGATTTCTTGTCTTGTTGAGCCATCACCCCCAGGATCAAGACTGCAGAATTCATATCCAGCAGGATCTGAAGTGGGTTACGCTGGTATGAGATTTTTCACACCCATGAAACTAAGACTTGCTAGCTAACTGAGGAATATGGATAATTAATCCAACAGTATCCCCGGCTGCATCAAAAGAGGGGTGGCCATCAGGGTGAGGGAGGTGACTGTCCCCTGCTGCACTGCCCTTGTGAGGTCCCTTTTGGAGTACTGCATCCAGGCCTGGGATTCCCAATACAGGAGGGATGTGGAGCTCTTTGGAGTAGGTCCAAAGAAGGCCACAAAGAGGATTCTTCTATGAAGAAAGGCTGAAGAAGTTGGGCTTGTTTAGCTTTCAGAAAAGAAGGCTCTGGGGAAACCACACTGTACCTTCCAGTATTCGAAGGGAACTTACAAGCAGGAGGGGGACCAAATTTTGATATGGTCTGATTGTGATAGAACAAGGGGGAAGGGATTTAAAATAAAAGAGGAGAGATTTAGATCAGATGTTAGGAAGAATTTTTTTACTCAGAGAGTGATGAGATGATGTAACAAGTTGCCCAGAGATGTGGTGGATGTCCCATCACAGAAGGCATTCAGGATCAGGGTGCAGGGGTACCCGGGCAGTCTGATCTAGTGGTTGTCAACACTGCCTAAGGCAGTGGGGTTGAAGCTTTAAAATGGGAAGATCTTTAAAAATCCCTCTAACCTCAGATATTCTGTGATTCTATAATATGATGAATAATATCTTCTGGAGAAAGGACCTCTCTGCTTATAGGATGATTTATCACTGAAAGGAAAAAAAAAAAAAAAAAAAAAAAAAAAAAGTGAAGAATTTGTGGCCTCTGCTATTCTTTAATGATGTTTTAGAAGCGACAGTTCTATGATAAGGGCTTTCCTTCCTCCTTGCCACGGTAACAAACTATTTCCTCTAATGTAATATTCGGGAGAGATTTAGATTAATGGAGAGACAGAACTGTTTTCTACAAAGCCCTTCAATATATCGTGGAAGACAAGTAACAGAAAAATGTGTGCTGGCGGTAGCTGCTTTTATCTGTTGTCGAGCACAGGGTGGATCGCGCAGCATCAACGCAGACGTCCCGACCGACGCTGGGCTGGAGGCGGCCGAGGGGCTTGGCGGCGCTGCGCAATGCTGCGGGAGCGGAGGGCAGCAGCACCTAGCGGGGATCGGGGCACTGAGCCGAGCTGGCAGTCAGCGCGTCTGCATACTGCAAGCCACAAATATCCACAAATAAGCAGGAAACTGGGATAGGGAACCCATGTGTGTTTCGTTTTGTTGTTGTGTTGTTTTTGCTTTTTTTTTTCAGGACAGGATTTTGTTGAGATTGGGGACTGTAATAAAAAAGGTTATTTGAGGATGTAAAAAGGTTTTGCCTTTCCTTGGAACGTCCAAGTGATAAGAAAATAACACAGGACAGGTGATTTCTCCCCAAAACTTGACTGTCATTGTGATCTTAGAATTCCTAAATAGATATATTTCACAGAGCTCTAAAAAAAGTTACTGTGGCTATATAAAGAGTCATTAAAGGTGACGGGATTAAAACATGGTTACAACCAGCAATCACACCTGTACTGCTAGACTTGCTCATTTTCGGACTTTTAGCATGAGTAAATCAAAATGGGAAGGAGGGAAGGAGGGAAGGAGGGAAGGAGGGAAGGAGGGAAGGAAGGAAGGAGGGAAGGAAGGAAGGAAGGAAGGAAGGAAGGAAGGAAAAA